CAAGCCAGAGTGGTAAAATAGGGAACAGTGAGTGTCAGAGCCAGGAGAATCAGAGACGTGGTCAGAAATGGGAGGGAGGGAACTGAGAACGTTAGACCCAGAGGAGCCCAGGCAGGAAGAATGTTCAAAGGTAGATCATAGAGCATTAGAACTAGTGAAGAGAGAGGAAGGTTAGGCCATGTTTCAGAGAGGGGCAGAGTCAGGAGAAATGAAACTGAGAACATAGAATTCTCAGTCTGAATTCAGGGGAGAGGGGGCAGTGAGGGGAATTCCTTAGCACATAGCAAACCATGTCTGATCATAGAGGACTTTAAGGATACGCCACCCATAGTGTGGAAACCAGAAGGGAGAATATGGGACACAGGGTCCAAGCCTGGGGGGAGGGAGGTGAGAACGCAGGATAAGATACGCAGAAGAGGTTGTTGGAACCAGGAGGGAAAGGTGTTGGAATGTGGCAAAGCATGTCCAAGGATGGACGGAGGGATTCCAGAACATAGAGTTTGGAATTGAAGCCAGGAGTCAGGTGCATGCTGCAGCCAGGGTAGAGAGTTGGGTGGTTGGCAGGAAGCTTCCCTAGGACTCTGCTCCTCATGAGTGGCCTCAGGCTGTGTATCAGTAGCACTAGAATGCCCCTATCACTGGCTCCCCTTTTCCCCATAGTTACTTCCTCTCTCCGTTTTCTCCTTCAGTGCCCAGAAGAATGAAGGGGGTCAATCAGACGTCGAGGGGCCATGCTGCTGAAGGAAGGCACCGTCAGCTGAAGTTCTCTTGCCTCCAGAAGTAAGTTGTAGTCTTGGAGATTTGCCTGGGCCATTATTAGGGTAAGTGACCTGCTTAAGGTCACACAATAAGTATGAGTCAGACGTAGGACTGAAGATCAGGTCTTCAGCTCCAGGGCCAAGCTGGCAGCTAAGCTATGCTGACATATGGGGAAGAGTTAGAACAAACAGAAGTGGAAGGCCCCAAGGAAGAGAAGGTGAGAGCCGCCGAAGTACTTAGAATGTAGAATGTCAGCGTCTGAATTAACAATAGAATATAAACTACGGGAATGGGGAAAAGGGCTCTTAAAACCTGCAATACAAGCTATCAGTGTCAGGAGGGACATAGCCTAGAACTTAAAAAAACCAGGAAGGAGGAACCTCAACGTTGAACCCCAAACTCTTTCTTCTGCCATTACTTTGGGCTAGAATTCTCTGAGTTCTTGTTCTAAGTTCTCTCCCTGCCATCTGTGGCACTCTGCTGTGTGCCGGGGGTGGGAGGGACCTCAGAACCTAAAGGGAGGGACCCTTGAGGCTCTGTCTGCAAGGCTCTGTCTGAAGGGGCCTGAGGTTGGGCCTAGTGGGGAGATGAGGACAGGTGGCAAGGATCTTCCTTGAGAGGCTACTTTGTAGTGACCTTAGGCTATGCAGCAGCAGCAGGCAGTCCCCTGGGTGTGGGATTTCCTCAGTCCTCATTCTCAGAATTATGGTTCAGTCCCCTCCACTTTCCGCCTTCAGTGCTTTGGCCTCCACGTACCTGGCAGCATAAAGGTAGGAGAGATAGCTTGCTATGTAGGAATGTTCTGGACTCTTGTAGGTGAGCATCTAGGGCTCTGCTACTGTTCCTCACCTAAGGGTGGATCCAGGCCCTGGTTCTGAGCGCCCCGGACTCTGGACACCACCCCTGCCCTTTGGCTGTTACCAGGGCTACCAAGATGTTAAGGGACTAGGGGACAGTCAAACAGTGACTGTCAGTCTGAGGCAGGCCTTTTCTAGGTTTTCCTGACTTAAGGCAATGTCTCAGTCTATGAAGTAAGAGAACACTTTAGCATTTAAAATGTCAGACCAAGAAGGCCCCTCAGACACAGGGTCAGAGACACGAGAGATGATAGAAGACAAAATTTTAGCACTAGAAGGCTCCTTTGGGATTGGGACGTCAGAATCTCAAGGCCTAGAACACAAGCTGCAGCGTGTGTCAGTATCTACAGCAGGGGTTTTTAACCTTCTGTCCAGGAAATTGTTTTTTAGTGTTTTGAGGGACATTTTCCATCGTAACTGATTTCTTTTGTAATCCAATGTAGTTTATTTTATGCATTTAAAAACATGGTTCTGAGAGGCTCAGCAGACTGCCGAAGAGATCCGTGATACAAAAAAGGTTCAGAACCTCTGTTCTAGAAGGAGGGATCTTAGAACATGGGAATTGAGCATGTAGCAAGTGCATAGCTGAGCCAGATCAGAGTAGGGGCCGTGATCTTCTTTGATGGCCTCAGGCTGTGCAAAGGCAGTCCTGGGATCAGCCCACCACTGAGCACCCTCAGGCTGCAGGCAGGCTTTCCAGCCCCACCGCTGGACTTGGGTCCCTCGGCTGCCTCTTTTCTTTCCCCTTATTCTCTGACCTCTAGGTGCCCCACAGTATAGAGGTGGGGAAGACGCTGTGTTCTCTCTCAGGATTTCCTATTCCATCACTGAACTTGGGCTTTTCCCCTTCAACCCTCCTCAGGCACTTTCTCTTCTGGGTACCTGGCAGTGTAGAGGCAGTTGAGAATGTTGGGTTCTCTCAGCCAACTCACTCTTTTCTCACTGCCTGGCATCTAGGGCTCTGCTACTATGCCCAGTTTTAGGAGAAAGGAGGGAATCTGGGCATCAGTGCACCTGGATCCTGCCTACATCTCCAGCCCCCCATGCCTCTAACTGATAGTCAGGGAGAGTTTCCTGGGCCCTTTAATTGTCTTGCCCTGATCACACAGCTACCATGTGTCTCAGTGGTGGGATGTCAAGCAAGGTCCAGCTGACTCCAAGGTCAGATCTCTCTGTATTAGGCTGTGTTCACTTGAGGTAGGAACATTAGAACAGATCCAGAAAGGAACCCTGGAACAAAGACATAGAACGACACAGCCTAAAGGGACATCAAGCCATGGAGCACAGTGTCAGTGACTGGTGGGGTGGGTCATTTGAATGTAAGCTCTGACTGTCAGAGATGAGAAGGGTGACTAGAGAGGGCTGAGGATGTAGTACACTGTTAACTAACTGTCCTTTCTCTTACAGTCAGTCGTCATCGACTTTGTGATTGGCTCCAGCCTGAAGAAGGAGCAGGGCCTTGAGGCCTGAGCATACTTAGACACTGGACACTTCCCCCTGCCTGTCCTGAGAGGTAAGTTTTAGTCTTAAAATGTCCCCTGGGCCTCTGGGAGGTTAAATGTCTTGCCAGGCTCACACAATACGTGCCTGAGATAGGATTTGAAGGAAGGTCTCTGTTACTCCAATATGAAGTCACTATCCAGACTGCTTTTAGAAGGCTAGATTAAAGGGGTGTCTGGCCCACAGAATATCAGAGTCTTCAAGCTTCTAGGGATGCAAGAGCTGGAAAGTTTCTTAGAACAGAATATCGCATCAAGAAGAATCTCTAGAACACAGTGTTGATGAGTGGAGAGTCATTCTCAGTGGGGAGTCTGGGGCAGGGGCCAAAGATTCTCTGGTGACACCCGGCCATGCAGAGGCAGCACAAAAGTGACCCCAGCACCAGTAATGCTCTGTCTGAAGACAGGATTTCCTGGCCTGTCAAGTGATTGAATGTTTTCTTCCTTTGGGGTCACCTTTCCTCATTCAGTCACTTGAACCTTCAAGGGCCAGACAGTGTAGAAGGTGTTGTGTCTTACCTGGTCACAGAGTGACCACATGAGTGACAGGCTGTCCATGTGGGGTCATGTCCATGACATGTGAGGTCCACATGACTCCAAGGTCGAGTCTCAGTGAACTAGACTGAGCTAACTTGAGGACAAGCTTGGAACAGAAGGTGTCAGAGGAGGAAAAGGCCTTAGAACAAAGAAGGTTATAGCCAGGAAAAAAACTCTGAAACAAGGAATGGTCAGCTGGGCAGGGCCCCGGACCTAGAAAAATACTAGAACAAAATGCCCCAGGTAGGAGGGAGGGATTTGAGAAGATGAAACGCAAGTGGCAGCATCTGGATGGAGGGACCTTCTGCCATTAGGCATGTAATATTAGAACACAAAAGAATGACCATAGTATGTAGACTATAGGGTGTCAGAGGTGACAGGGCGTATACCATACTTAGACTGTGCAGTACAGATTTGTCAGAGCAAGAACAGTAGAAATAGGTGTAAACAGCTGAGAATACAGGCCTTAAAATATAGCACCTGGGGGGGGCAGCTAGGTGGCACAGTGGATAGAGCACCGGCCCTGAAGTCAGGAGGACCAGAGTTCAAATCCGGCCTCAGACCAAACACTTGACACTTACTACCTGTGTGACCCTGGGCAAGTCACTTAACCCCAATTGCCTAAAAAAAAAAAAAGGGAAAAAAACCAAATATAGCACCCGGTGTGCCAGAGGTGGGTGAGCGGGCACACAGTGTCAGAGCTGGCAGGGTGAGACCTTAGAACATAGAATAAGGCCAGTCAGAACCGGGAAGAAGAGATTGAACCAATTTTGAGAGCGTAGATGGGGGCAGAGAATGGGTTTATCGGCTTCTAGTGAGTGCATGTCTGAATGGGGCCTGGCTTTAGGGATGAGAAAGGAGCAGACGACGAGAGCCAAGGATCTTCCCTAGCGGGCACACATCCTTGTTACTGGCCTTCAGCAGTGAAGCAGCCGAACAGAATTCCTTGTACCATTGGCTGCCCTCTGGTGGTGCCGTCATTGAACTTTGAGGGTGTACCTTGCGTCCCCTTTCACTTCCTCCTGTACTTGGCAGTTGGCAGCATAGAGGGAGAAAAGATGCCATGTTTTTGCAGCTGATTGTCTCCTCCCTTATAGTCTGGCATCTAGGGCTGTGCTGCTGTCCATGAGATGAGCAAGAAGTAGGGACCCCCATCTTCTGCCCCTGCCCCCAGGCCTGAGCTGTCTTGAATTGGGCATGTGACTGTGAGGCAGAGCTGAGTGACAGATCCCATGTTACAGACTGTCTGAGGCAGACCTGGAAGCTGTGGTTTCCTGTTCTTCTATTGAGACATTATCTCTTGGAAGGAGCATTAGAAGATGTCGACTCATAGGTCCTGAAAACAGTATCAGAGGCTGGCTGGATTGCAGAGCAGAACATTGTATGTGATGGCATCTTTCAGTCCCGGAAGGTCAGGATCTGAAGAGATACTAGAACAGAGACCAGAGAAAACCTGAGACTAGAGGGAGGGATTCCAGAACATGGAACCTGAGCTTGTATGATGTGTGTGTCTCCCTTAAGAAGCCTGCCATGCTGGCTCCTGGTCTCAGGCTGTGCAGCAGCAGGATCAGGTTAATGCTCTGACTGGCCAACCTCAGTCTGGTGACAAGATTTCTGGTCCCATCAGTAGACTTAGGTTTCCGCCTGTACCAGTTATTTGACCTCCAGGTGCCCAACTGTGTAGAGGTGAGAAGGTGCCATGTTGTGTCTTGGTAAATTTCTCACCACTCACAGTTGAGCATCTGAGACTGCTACCATCCCCCTGCCACAAGAGGGAGTAGGGAACCCAGTCCTGAGCCAGCCTGCAGCACATGCACACACGTGTGTGCACATGGCACCGCACACATCCACGTGCGTGCACACACGTGTGTGCACATGGCACCGCACACATCCACGTGCGTGCACACGCGTACAACTTGCACCTTGGTAGTTAGAAGCTCTGAGAGTTGACTGCGTTAGTGCAGAGCTCACACTGTGACTGGATTTCTCTGACACACAACAAGAAGCCCGGGTTTCACCATTCACTGAGGCACATTAGAATATAGGATGTTAGACCATGAGAACACAGTGTCAGGAGGCCCCTTAGAATACCACATGAGGTTAGATTTAATAGGGTCTGTTAGTGTGGGTCTGTCATTGTTTAAGGAGACAAACAGATTAGAGAATACCAGAGTCTGGAGGGAGGGATGCTAGGACGTGGAACTTGGGCTTATGGTAAGTGCAAATGTCTGCAGGAACCCTGGTGCTAGATCTGAATGGGGAGTCCAGGGCAGGGGCCACAGGTCTTCCTTAGGAGCCCATGGATGCTGGTCAGTGACCTCAGGCTGTGCAACAGGGACACTAGGCTTACTTTTGTGAATGAACACCCTCAGTGTGAAGGCAGCATTTCTGGTCCCATCAGAGAATTTAGGTTTCCTCCTTGTTCTCCATTTCCTTTCTCCTGTTCTTTGATCTCCAGGTGCCCGACTGTGTAGAGGCAAGAAATATGCTGTGTTCTCTCTTGGTATATTTCTTGCCTCTACCAATTGAGCATCTAGGACTCTGCAACTGTCCCCAGTGGCAGAAGGTAGTGAGGTCCCCAGATCTGGGCACACCTAGAACCTGAGGTCCAATCTTGGGTTTAGTTTCTAGCACAAGGTCACACAGTAACTTTGTGTCTGTCTCCAGAAAGACTAAAAGCCAGGGTTTCCTGTCCACTGAGGCTTATGGTCTTTCTGAGGGAGTATTATAAGCTAGGATGTCAGATCAGGAGAACACAGTGTCAGGGAGAAGGCACCTTAGAACACTAGAATGTTAGATATTCTAGAGTTCTTTTGTCCTGGAATAGCCCTATCTGAGAAGATATAGTGGAGATTAGAGAACATGAGAGTCTGGAGAGAGAGATGTTAGAACTGAAATTTGGGCGTATCTGAAGGAACCCTAGTGCTAGATCTGAGTCTAGAGTCTAGACCAGGTGCCGCTGCTCTTCCTTGGAAAGCCCTTGATGCTGGTGAGTGACCTGAGTCCACACACCACCAACATCGCTAGCCACCCTTGCTCTGAAGCCCGTCATTGGGCTTAGGATTTCCCTTCTCCATTTTCCTTTCTCCTGTTCTTTGATCTCCGGGTGCTCAGCTGTGTGGAGGTAAGGAGCTATGCCGTTTTCTCTCTCTCGGTAAATCCTTGCCTCTCACAGTTGAGTGTCTAGGACTCTGCAACTGTCCCCGGCCGAAAGAGGGAGGATAGGGTCCCCAGACCAGAGCCCACCTACCACCCTGCATGCCACCCCACCCAGAGGGGAAGTTTCTAGGAGCCAGGCTTTCCACATACAAACATAGGCTCCCAGAATGTCAGGCAGGAGGCACCTTAGAACTCCTTAGCATGTTCGATTGAATCTGGTCCTTTAGTGCTGGAATGTCATTGTCTGAGGAGACATAATAAGAGATTAGAGGATGCCAGAGTCTAGAGAGGGATGCTAGAACGTGGAACTTGGGCTTATCGTGAGAGCAAATGTCTGAAGGAAGCCTGGTGCTAGATCTGAGTGGGGAGTCTAGGACGGGCCTAGACAGGCCACAGGTCTCCCTTAGGAGGCCTTGATGCTGGTTAGCAGCCTCAGGCTAGTCAGTAGTAACACTAGGGGTGCCCTGTCAGTGGTCACCATGAGTATGAAGGCAGGGTTTCTTGTTCCGTCAACAGACTTTGGATTTTCTCTCTTCCCCTTTCCTTTCTCCTGTTCTTTGACCTCCAGGTGCCCGACTGTGTGGAGGTAAGGAACTACGCCGTGTTCTCTAGTTCGGTAAATCCTCACCTCTCACTGTTGGACATCTAGGACTCTGCGACTATCCCCATCCCCCAGCCCACCCATGCCCTGCATGTCACCAGGAGATTAGGTTTCTAGTCCAAGTCATACAGTGACTGGTGTCTTTCTGAGGCAGGGCTTGAAGACAAAGTTTTCTTTCTACTGTAGCCTGTGGTCTTTCTGAAAGATGTTAGACTGAGAACCCAAGGTGTCATCCAGGTAGCATCTCGGATCACTTTCAGATATTAGATCAGAGAGGGCCCTTTATTGCTAGCATGTCACAGGAGGCCGTAATAGAAGACAGAGTCTGGAGGGAAGAAGTGGTGGTAGAACGTGAAACCTGGGTTTATAGCAAGTGCAGATGTCTGCAGGAAGCCTGGTACCAGATCTGAGTAGGGAGCCTAGGCCACCCTTAGGAGGCACTTGATTTCTGTACCACAGTAACACTTGGTGGGCTCTGAAAGCAGGATTTCTGGCCCGTCGTCATCAGACTTAGCTCTTTCCCCTCTGACCCATTTTCCTTTCTCCTGTTCTTTGACCTCCAGATGCCCAACTGTGTGGAGGTAAGGAACTACGCCGTGTTCTCTCTCTCGGTAAATCCTTACCTCTCACTATTGGGCATCTTGGACTCTTCGACTGTCCCCTGTGTCGGCAGGCAGTGGGGTCCCCAGACCTGAGCCCACCTGCCCCCCAGAAGTTATGTTTCTAGCCTGAGATTATACATTAATCCTCTGTCTGAGGCAGGATTTGGAGCTCGCATTTGTGATCCACTGAGGCATGTTGTCTTTCTGCAGGAGTATTAAAAGATAGAATATTATGTGGTGAGAATGCAGAAGGTCAGACAGGAGGGACCTGCAAACTCCTTAGATTGCCAGATGTGATAGGGCCCTTTAATCCTGGAATGTTGTGGTCTAAGGAGACATAATTATAGAGATTAGAGAGTAGCGGGGATGCTAGAAGGTGAAACATAGTCTTACACTAAGTGTGTGACAGAAGAAGCCCTGCTGTTAGTCTGAGGCAGGGGGCCCTTTGTAGCTGGGGAGTGGCCTGAGACTGGGCCACCCTCACTCTGAAGGCAGAATTTCTGGTCCATCATCATCAGACTGAGGTCTTTCCTTTCTGACCCATTTTCCTTTCTCCTGTTCTTTGACCTCCAGGTGCCCGACTGTGTGGAGGTAAGGAACTACGCCGTGTTCTCTAGTTCGGTAAATCCTTACCTCTCACTATTGGGCACCTCGGACTCTTCAGCTGTCCCCTGTGTCAGCAGGGAATGGGGTCCCCAGACCTGAGCCCACCTGCTCCCTGCATGCCCCCCAGAGGCTCTGTTTCTAGTACAGAGTCATACAGTAAATATTTGTCCTTCTGAGGTAATATCTGAAGCCAGGTTTTCCTTTCTAGGGAGACATGTTGTTTTTCTGAAGGAGCATAGGAAATTAGAATGTTAGTTTGTGAGGACATAAGAACGTGAGACTGGAGACACCCCAGATCACCTGTGCATCTGTTTGAGGCAGGCTTGGAAGCCAGCTTTCTTGTTCACATAAGAGCCTTTGGGGCTGCAATGTCATTGTCTCCAGAGACATAATAGCAGGGATGAAAGAATATCAGTGTCTCGGGAGGGATGCTAGACAGTGAACCTTGGGTTTCCGTGGTGTTTGAGCTGAGTGGGCTATCCAGGACAGGGGCCCCTGGTCTCCTTTAGGTGGCCCTGAATGCTGGGGACTGAACCGAGCCTGGTGCTATTGCACATTACTGGTACTCCTTGGTGTAAAGGCTGGATTTCTAGTCCCTTCGCTGCATTTAAGTTCCTGGCAGCCATCATGCTCTCTCCTGTTTGTTGACCTCCAGGTGCCCGACTGTGTAGAGGTAAGAAATATGCTGTGTTCTCAAATGGTATATTTCTTGCCTCTACCAATCGAGCATCTCGGACTTTGCTGCTGTCCCCTGCATCAGGAGAGAATAGGGTCCCCACGCCTGAGCCCACACATGCTCTGCAGGCCACTCATGTGAAGGCTCTAGCATGAGGTCATCTGGTGTCTGTGGTTAGTTCTGTCTGATAAGGAGCTCGAAGAACATTGTCCTGTCATCTGTGGATATTGTCTTTTTGAAGGAGCATTAGAAGATAGAATCTTAGATCAGGAGCACAGAGTATCAAAGAGGGTGCACCTTAGAATGTTAGGTCTCATAAGGTCCTTTAGTGCTAGAATGACTTTGAAGACAGTAATAACAGAGATGAGAGATTATTAGAGTCTGGAAAGAAGGATGCTAGGACGTGGAACTCGGGCCTTCATCAAGTGCATGTCTTAAGGAACCCTGGTGCTAAATGTGATTCCAGGCAGGTGCCAGAGGTCTCCCTTAGGAGGCCCTAGATGCTGGGGAGTGACCTGGGGCCGTGCAGTAACACAGCTCGAGGTAGCCCTATCACTAGCCCATCTGAAGGCAGCATTTCTTGCCATATCCTAGGATGCTGGTTTTCCTCTTTTCCCCATTTTCCTTTCTCCTATTCTTTGACCTCCAGGTGCCCGATTGTGTAGAGGTAAGAAATATGCTGTATTCTTGATTGGTATATTTCTTGCCTCTACCAATCGAGCATCTTGGACTTGGCTGCTGTCCCCTGCATCAGGAGGGAGTGAGGTCCCCACACCTGAGCCCATT